TGTGCAGTTTTTGTTTGTGTGCGTGTGTGTGCATATATTGCAAGGTTCACATCTAACTTATGGCCAGATGTCAACTGTGAAAGAGGAGCCCGAAATTCTCCTATGAGGCAGAACAAAGGAACAAAGGGGTTCCCGTTCACTCCTTGAGAGAGACAGAGAGCGAGAGAGAGAAAGAGAGAGAAATATACACAATAAGAGGAAATTGAAAGAAAGCAATGGGCAAACTTACAGGTTATGTGGAAATAGGTCAACTATTTCTTTCCCCAATTCTATTTAAAAGGGGGGGGGTTTTTGAAAAAAAAAACATTTTTTTTTTTTTTTGTATAACTTCGTATAATGTTTGCTATACGAAGTTATTACGGCGGGGAGGACTCGGCGGAGGTCCCTGTAGCCGACGGGGAGGACTCGACGGAGGTCCCTGTGGCCGACGGGGAGGACTAGACGGAGGTCCCTGTGACCGCCGGACTTAACGGAGTCGATATCTTGGACATAAACATTTTGGAAAGCTTTTGGATTTGGAAATTACACCCAAACTTGAATACCTTTCCTCCACTGATATTGAAATTTTAAAACGATCATCCCAAGAATGGTATACTCAGGTTTTCCTTTTCGGAGATTTTGTATAAGTTCGAGCGTCTTTGTCGCTTAAACGCTCAGACGCTTTGCTTCCTCCACGAGGCTCAGACGTGAAATGCTGCTGATCAGTTCTCTCTTTCTCTTTCTCTCTTTTATATATAGAAAAACAGTGTTAGCGTCTTGTCTGTACAGTTTTAATATATTCATTAACATCCCTAGATCCTTAATTGGTGATTGAAATTCCCATATTCAAGGGTTATATATATCATTCGTTGTATTTGGACTTTTTTTGGCTTTATTGCTCTGATGACGCTTGGGGTCTGATTGTACTTTTGTACTATACGTCAAGTTTTCTTTGTTAAATATCATGTTACCACCAAAGCTTTCCTAGAGTATGTTTCATTTGCAATTATCAAACTCTGATCACCTGCTAAATGAATGTTATCTCGAATTAAGTATAGCATAGTATGATAAAACATATCACATATTAACTAATGATAGAGAAAGCTTAAATGATTGATGAAACGCCAATATCCCCTTTGGCGTGTAACCTCCGAATACAATAGTTATTCCTAACGTATCAGACGTTTTCTTTGTTATTATTAATGACATAGAAAATGGTTCTTTGATTAAGCCTAGCTGAAAAAGGTAGTTTATGTTTATACAGTCTTCATAAGAGGTAACTGGATCAATAACCAAGCATTCGTGCAAGACATAGAAGTAGAATTTTGATATTCAGCTCATTAAATTTTCCCATATA